TGTGTGTGTGTGTGTGTGTGTGTGTGTGTGTAATTTGGGGGACTAAGAGAGATTTATAGACAAAGAGTTCGGATTATAGAAAAAAAAAGAGTGCTAGAGAGTAAGACGATAATAGAAATGCAAACTTGACTTTAAAAGTCAATTCAGTTTCCCAAACGAGATGTATGGAGAGAATCGTTAAAAAAAAAGACCAAAAAAACCCACCAACTACCACAGGCAAACTTAATCACAGCGCAGCACATGAAAGTTTCTACACGGGGAGAGGAGGTTTCAATTTGCATAACATTTGAATTAGCTTGATTAACAGTTACTGGCGTGGTGGAAAGAAGAAATGTGGCGTGGTGGAAAGGAGAAATGCGTGATTCGAAAACACTTTAATTTTTTTTAAAGTGAAAAGCGTAAATCTAACAACCTTTGTGTCTGATATCTTTGGAAAGCTGTTGAATGTACTAAATCCAGAATGCATAAGTCAGACTTTGCAAAATTGTTCGAAATCAGAGAAACACAAAAGTGTGTTCGCGCGAATATTGAAGTGCCACAATATTGGTGGAATGAACGTGTATCGAATATCAAAATGAAAAGAGAATAGTATTATTATCTCTGTAATGTACAGCATCTTCTGATGATATTTTCAAACAGATGGGAGAACAGAGCAGTTACATATCGCACAAAACCTGTACTTAACAGAACATGTGCTCATTGGTATTAATTTTGTTTTTGTTAAGGAGCTAGATATCTAGATTTAATGGTTTCATGTCGAGCAGGTTTTTTTTTTTTTTTTTTGTTTTTTTTGTGTGCATGGACTGTGTTGGTTTAGTTAGATTTTGGACATAATCATCTGTCAGTGAGGAACAGAGGTCACCAAACTGTCGAAGTTTTGGGTGGTCTTGTGTGGAATGAGCAAAACAGCCCTCATGAGAATCACCGGATGGCTTGATTTAGTGGATTACAACGGGCAAGTGCTGGAACGTCATGTCTTACCCTTGTTTTTGTCATGGTGTCATTCAAGTAGACATCTCCATGCACAGCAAAGCACTTTCTCACAGGGCCAGAGCCACGAGATAATTTTTGGAAAACCAAACCAAATCAACGTTGGAGTGGTCACCAGTAAATCTATCACCTTGATATGAATCCTACAGGTATGTGAAGACTGAAGTACCATGAAACAGCATCTGAAGAAAGGCGACTTTGCTCCCAATTCAGACTCTTTGTTTGCAACTCTCTGTGACATGTGGGATTAACTGACGGATAATTATGTACAAAATTTAACTATGCCAATGCCCAAAGGGTTCGTGAAGCACACAAAACTAATGGCTCCTAAGCAAAATAACAATGAGCACCTTTAATGTTAAATCCAAGTTTTGCGTGGTATTTGGGATTGCTCTGTTTTCCGTTCTGTTTGAAACTATCGTGAGAAAATATCCAAATAGAATATTGTTTATTGCAATACAAAATGCTCCACTTATTGGATATGTAATGTATGTCCATTCCATCAACAACGATGCTCCTCAATACACGCGCAAAGACAATTTCACGTTTCTTTGATTTCGAACCATTTTACCAAGCCTGATTTTTCAAGGTCAGTTTTGAGTGACCATATCTCGGGCGTCTCTTAATATAGATGAACTATTAATGTGTCAGATGATGCAGGATTTATTTAGCTTTAAATTGGTATGCTGCATGGGTAGGTAATGCAAAGCTTTAACACGATGATTGGGTGATTACATTTTCAAGTTTCTTTCGGACGCCACTCTACAATCGAACCTGCTCTAACGCCAACCAGTAAAAAAACCAACAGAAAAAACCATCACCTAGTACAAACAGCCAACTCTTATTTCCCTCTAGCGAGTTTTGGGGGTTTGTGTGTGTGTTTTGTTTGCTTGTTTGTTTGGGGTTGTTTTTTTGTTTTTTTTTGGGGGGGTTGTTTTTGTCTTTTGTTGTTGTTTTGTTGGAATTTTTTGACATTATAATGACAGTATGTAAGACTTTCACATGTCTAAGACAGCCGCTTTTCTCCTCGACAATGGGTGACCGACTTCGACAATTTTGACTGTGTTAAGATAATGTATCATCCTATGGGAATGCCACGATGATAATAATAATAATAATAATAATAATAATAATAATAATTATGTTCCCTCCAGTTGCCATGGAGACCCAGGGCGCGCGTCCCCGGCAGGTGGCGCGGCGTATGGAGAAGATGCTGTTGGTGAACCACAGGGAGGAACAGAGTCTGAGGCGGCGTCTGGCCGACATCACCAGCTACAGCTACGAGAGGGGGAGGGAGCTGGATAGAGAGACCAGGAAGGTGAGGGAGGGGTGAGGGAGGGAGAGGGAGGCGAGGAAGGTGAGGGAGGGAGGGTGGGAGCTGGATAGGGAGACCAGGAAGGTGAGGGAGAGAGAGGGATGGAGAGGGAGGTGCGGAAGGAACAGAGTCTGCGGCGGCGTCTGGCCGACATCACCAGCTACAGCTACGAGAGAGGGAGGGAGCTGGATAGAGAGACCAGAAAGGTGATGGAGGGGTGAGGGAGAGGGAGAGGGAGAAGGAGGGAGATGTGGAAGGTGAGGGAAGGAGAGAGGGAGAGAGAGAGGATGGGAGCTGGATAGAGAGACCAGGAAGGTAAGGGGAAGAGCGGGTGGGTGAGAGGGAGAGAGAGAGAGAGAGAGAGAGAGAGAGAGAGAGAGAGAGAGAGAGAGAG